AGAGGATCCCCGTTGTGACACTTTGCGGCCCCTCACCTTTGCACATTCGGACGCTCTTCCCCGACCCTTTGCGCGTGCACGTGCATGTGCGCGTGCATGTGCATGTGCATGTGTGCATGTGTGCAGGTTACGTGGGTATCGGTTTTCTGGGCCGCTCGCTCCTTCACATGTTCCCCAGCGACATCGTCTTCGGGTACAGCAAAAGCTCCATGCCGTACATCAATACCTTTTACGCCAATGTAAGTACGGCATTATTGACATTTTAGAGTGCGACATTTTCGACTGAAACACACGTGTTGTCGCAGTCGGTATTGCGCTGCGTGAAGAAGCGTACAGGCCGGGGCGAGCACATACGTGCCAATAAAGAACGGGGCGAGCACATACGTGCCAATAAAGAACGGGGCGAGCACATACGTGCCAATAAAGAACGGGGCGAGCACATACGTGCCAATAAAGAACGGGGCGAGCACATACGTGCCAATAAAGAACGGGGCGAGCACATACGTGCCAATAAAGAACGGGGCGAGCACATACATGCCAATAAAGAACGGGGCGAGCACATACGTGCCAATAAAGAACGGGGCGAGCACATACGTGCCAATAAAGAACGGGGCGAGCACATACGTGCCAATAAAGAACGGGGCGAGCACATACATGCCAATAAAGAACGGGGCGAGCACATACATGCCAATAAAGAACGGGGCGAGCACATACGTGCCAATAAAGAACGGGGCGAGCACATACGTGCCAATAAAGAACGGGGCGAGCACATACGTGCCAATAAAGAACGGGGCGAGCACATACGTGCCAATAAAGAACGGGGCGAGCACATACGTGCCAATAAAGAACGGGGCGAGCACATACGTGCCAATAAAGAACGGGGCGAGCACATACATGTCAATAAAGAACGGGGCGAGCACATACGTGCCAATAAAGAACGGGGCGAGCACATACGTGCCAATAAAGAACGGGGCGAGCACATACGTGCCAATAAAGAACGGGGCGAGCACATACATGCCAATAAAGAACGGGGCGAGCACATACGTGCCAATAAAGAACGGGGCGAGCACATACATGTCAATAAAGAACGGGGCGAGCACATACATGTCAATAAAGAACGGGGCGAGCACATACATG